AATCCATGTTGACATAAAGCAGATTCTATTTACAGTACAAATATATGCGGGATGGAGCCCCATATTCTGGCTTACCAGAAGGGACTGCCCAAAAACCCAAGAAGCCCGTGAAATGGTCAATACGGAACTCCATCATACAAACTGGCAGCACGCTTAATCCTCTTTTTATCCACCTGCTAGCGAAAAGCCATCTGTTTCCATATAGCTTCTTCCAGTCGTGACAACGGACTGCAGAATTGTAATCGATAAGGAGATGCTCCTGTGGCTGTGGTACAGTGATAACACATACACAGAATATGTAGTCAAGCAAAAAAAAATATTGATACCTGTTCCATGGTTGACCCGCTTCACTAAATGCATCAGGTGGGTTACCACTAACTGAAAGTGGGGAAACCATTCTTGTCCTTACAACCAGAGAGAGTACACAGTAAAGAACCACAACATAATTATGTACAAGTTTTCAAATAATAAAAGTAAGATTGCTTTGAGAAATAATTAAGGTATACCAGCAAAAATGATTTCCTGTTCGCCCAAACATCTGCACTATGGTAGCCAACATATAGGCACAAGTCACCCATGATGCTGATACCCAGCTTTTGTGCATATTTAATCAATCCACTGCCATTGCCTTTGAAATAAGAACTGCTGAGCCATAAATGTCTCTATCTGCATAGCACATGAAGCTACTTTAAATCATTAATGGACACTTTTACTTTAAAGAAATCATTACTACAAGTACTATAGTTTCAAATGCTTACAAAGTCCTTCTGTTTTTGATATATATCTTCCAAGGCTCCAAGATGCATGTATTTTTCAGAGGTTCAGGCCACTGCATTCCAAGAGAATGCACCGAGCAAAGCTTTTGTCAATAGCAGCAAAAAGAGCTGCATCTTCTGCCTTCAACCTGTAGGTAAAAAGAGACACTAAGCCACTATACTGTATATTAATTGGTCTTGCTATTTCCCCTTTAAGAGGAAAAGGAATGCATCGAGGCTGTTGTACATAATTGATAATTAATTAGTACTTCTTTGATATCCAGCTACATATCAGTACAGCAGTTTTCTCCAAGACGCAATTTAGTAGTTATAAAAGCATCGATTTTCTTATATACCCCTTATTTTTGTGAAACCAATTTAATGGTTTATGTTGTCATTCAAAATTACCTTATGTTGACACTATGTTTATATGCTATTCACAATAAGAGAACAATATGAAAGGCCAAACATGGTTTGAAAGTTTATGCATAAAAAATTCTTGCCTGATATATTTGGATTTTTCTTGAAGCAGTCATATTGCGTTCTGAGCTCTCCATGGCTTAGTAGGAGCCTCTCTGCTGCCTAGAAGATAAAGATTTATCTATGATTTTTAATGAAGCCAATCATCAAGCAGAGGATTCATTTTCATTAAGTACTTTGTACTAATAATCTCACTACAACTTAAGCTGCACCTATGCTCAGTTTTGTACCAATTTTAGCCAAAACAAACGAATACCTCAACTTTATTACAAAGTGTTGGGTTACATGAATGAAGAATAGTTGTGAATCATAAGTAACTAGAAGCATGCATATCTTCCACATAACGTAAGCGCTTATGAAATACTAAGCTCATACAAAACAACTTAAGCAAAGGCTTAAAAGGAAAGATTAATGACCAACCTTTGCAATAAGTGGTTCTTTTCAGATTTGCAACGGTGTCAAATTCAACGATTGCTTTGTATCCCTGTCATTAATAAAAAAAGTTTGAAAGTTAAACTCCATCCACAACCAACCCAAGGAGGAAAGGAACACACTTATAAATGAACATCAAAGTGATCAAGAAGGAATTTAAACTCACACAGGATCAGGAAGTTCATCTGACATCAATAGACCATCTTTACAAGCTCCTCAAGAGATAGCAAAAGGGTATTGCCACAGTTGGCATCCTGCAAATGCAAACCAATCCAAGTTCCATAAATAGCCAATCCTAACTGCTACAAAATTAACTCTAAAACCAAGGAAGTCAATTCGATTTGCATGAAGCATTACCTGTCCAGAATAAGGAGATCCATCCTCCCCAGCCGTCCTACCTGGAGGAACAAGAGGTAGAACCTGCAAATATGGACCGGACAAACAATTAACTTCCAGAAACTCGACTCAGTTCATCATGCATAATAACTAGGACTGTCAGTGGGGGTGAAGCAACTAAATAAATATCAATTGTCCAACTCAACTATATCCTAAAGCATCACTTCTATTATTCTTCTACATGGACCCTAAACTGTGCACCATCAACACTCTTGGCAGTAAAAGATCTCGAAATAGACCACTTATCATTACAATGTGGCTTGCATTGAAGTAAGGCAAAAAAACAGAACATAAAGTTTTGCCTCAATGGCAAACATGCCTCAACAAGCTACAAGACAACCCCAGGTCCCTGAGAGAAACAATCCACAAAGAAACATAGAGACAAAATGCACAATGAAGGCCTCCCAAACTAGTTTTGAAATGCAAGTTGTATTGTTCAAAGTCCTCTTTCTATGTAGCACAATCGATAGCGGCGTGGAGCAATCACTTTTTCAGCTTGTGTTCTTTGTTGGTTTTAGCTAGGGCTTATTAATGCCCAATGTTGTTTTCTCTCACAACAAACCAAAGACCATCACTGGGCTTATCGATCAAACCAACCAAATAATGAGCTGTTTAACTCTTTGCAATCCTCGGTACGAATGAACATGAAAGGCTTCCTTCCCAACATATTGACAGATGCGGACTTACCTTTCAACCAACTTGCACTACCATCCCAGAACAAAATTACAAATTTCACAGTGACTACTGACTAGGCAAAAAATGGACAACAACACTGATGTACAACATGGGCCCATATTCGTCTAGTTCCCAAGCCCACAGTCAAGGGGATGATCAGACAGCCCACCTCTGCAGGCGCCGGTGTGGCCCGCAACTGCAACGCAGAAGGGGGTCACATGATCCTAAGCCCCGCAAAATCGCGGTTAAGCTCGCTTAATAACGCTCTAATCGCAGCATAACTAGCGAGAAAAAAATCAGTGAACCGCGGGAGCAATGTGCGAGGCGCAAGTCACCTCACCTGCCAGAGCGTGCAGCCGGCATCGTGGAGCCAATGCAGGAAGGCAAGCGCCTCGTCCCCGAGGTCGCCGATGCCGTGCGGGCCCCGCAACGACGTCGGATGCAGGAGCACCCCCGCGCGCCGCCGCCGCGATGGCTCCACGGTGGGCATCATCTGATCGTACCCCTCCTGCAGCTCCTCCCCGACGCCCACGGCCGCGACCTCGGCGGGGTCCGGAGCGACCGGGGGCGGGTCCAGAGCAACGGCCGCCATGGCGTTCGCTGCGCGGCAGGCCGCGGCCCGCACGGTGAGCACACGCACCGGCGGAGGCGCCGCCTGAGGCGGGAGGAGGAAGCGGCGGTGGGGCGCGGACGACGGGCGGGCAGCAGGAGCGTGAGGACTCGCGCGAGAACCATTTGCGACCAACGGACGGGACAGGCGCGCGGGGGCGGGGCGGAGCGGGGATGGGAAGGGGCCGAGGCGGAGAGGGAGATATGGGCGGTGGGGAATGACACGTGAGCCCCGCATGTCGGGCGAGGCGCGCGGAGTGCGGAACTGCGGACGGGTCCCGTGAGCCGAGGTGTCGTCGGATCACGAGAAGTGGTGGCCCCGCTTGCACGTGGACGGTGCCGTGCGCGGTAGGGTTCTAAGCATCACTTCTATTATTCTTCTACGGGGACTTAAAATTATAATAATCATTAATATGATCTCTGGACCTACCCCAGGATATCAAGCTAATGAAGCAACTTGATGTCATTCGCCAAGAATTTTATCGGCTATTGCAATATAGAAATCGGCTCTTCGAGGCTGCATCGGCTTAGCGAGCAAGACTTTGGACCCCAATGATTCCACTTTTTAGACAAATGATCTTCATCTGCAAGCTTCCATAAATATCACTTTTATATTGCTTGCCCAATGAAAAATTCCATCTAGGAGTTTCTCAACATGTGCTTGAGCACACCATATCTGATTTGATATATATGACCAATATAGTTCCTTTCCATCTTCTTCGATCCAAATCAACGTACGATATAAGTCTTCTTTAAGCTAGTAGTCCGACTAAGCCGAGTGAATATCTCCGTAAGCGCCACCAAATAGTTCTTTGAGCGGTGGAGTACAGAGCAATAGCTTTTGATCTTCTTGAGTTTATCACTTGGAGTATCAACGTGTTGCCACGTCGCCACAACCGGCCCCATGCAGATGACACGTCATGGAAGGATTGGCTTGCAAGCCTCATGCGGTGGTAAATCTTGGCAATATGGATGATGTTCTTAGAACCGAATCCTGAAGATTGAAGATAATGATCAATTTCAGCCTCTAGGATACATAATGCAAGAAATGGTTTTATATGGGAAGATTACAATTGGTGTATTATGAAACATGTCATTATAATTATAGGTGTTGCTGGTGCTTGTCATTTTCTACATATATGAACAGCTCGGTCCCACTGTCAGGTCGAGGAAGGCATATGTGACTTTCGTATGGACACCAATGTCCCTGCTTGCGTGTTACAAGCTACCACAGCCCTCTCTCCCATTCATTCCATCCCCCATCCATGCTCCTCTCCATCTTCCTGTTCCTCTGTTCCCTATGAACCCTAACCCTAGACGTGGGCGTAACCGTCCTAAATAACGCACTTACAGAGGCGCTCATCTTCCACCAGACACTAAGCATCCCGTAATCAAGCTATAGTGGGCGATATCCGTCAGGCACACCCCAAGGGAGAGCCCAAAATATCCACATTTTTTTCCCAAGGATCCAATAATAAGAACGAGTTACAAACTTAATCCATTTCATACATCCAGAGTTTTTAGAAATTACATTATTACATTACCAAATGTCAGAGTGCGGAATATTAAACAGCGAAATAAAAATAAACATCAATTAAACATCTATCAATAGTAAGCAAGGTGTCAATGCAGAAAGTGACCAACACGTAAATATTTATAGTTTTGCTGTACATTATGATCGGAGGTGGCCTAGTACTCAATGACACGGGGTTTATCTTTGGTTCGATAACGTGTCCTACGCCGGTTTAAGTCGATCGGTGACTTTATTCCACGAGCCTGTGTGCTCGAAGTTTTTGTGGGGGTTACAAACGGAAGGAAGAAAGTTGTGGGGTACAAGAGGTCCGGTCAGACTCTGGTTTGAAGGGCCGAGAGTGACGGGAGCCCCACTATGTGCTAAGTGTTCGAGTGTATGCTCGGTATAACCTTAAAGTGTCTAGAGTTACAGAGGGTGAATCAATACAAGCGAACTGATTGATCTCCATTGAAAGAGAGCGCATCCCCTTTTATAGATGAAAGGGATGGCTTTATAAGTGAGAGGAAAAGAGTACGTATGATGCTAAGTCTTGTTGCCCATGCCGGTGGGTAAAAGATGATTGTAGGCACCCACAATACTGTTTAATGTCAAATGCACGTGGGAGGTTGCGTTGTCTTCTTCGGTATGGTAGACGCGGTGATTGCTCGCCATCTTGTTGATACCCAGAGGCACGTAGGGGGTTTTACCATGTTTGCCTGGTATGGTAAACGCTGGTGCCCATGACACTGTTGATATCTAGAGGCGTGTGGGGGGAGCCTTACCATATTTGTTTGGTATGTGAGTTGATGGCACCCACAATACTGTAGGGAAAAATGTCGGCGCCTACAACTTTGCTTGAGTTCTATCATGCCGGGGAGGTCATAGAATTGTCATCTTTGGTGCACGTGATATGGTCCTTGGTATTACGGTTGACTTGAGTGCCCTGCCTTACTTTCTCCGTCTGTTTCCTGGTCCTTACCGAGCGGACGTCCTCGGTCGGTTGGTCCCAGTCGGCTCTGATTGCGCTAGTTGGAGAAGAGCAGTGAGCAGGGGTTGGGCGCATCCCCAGTTGAAGACGCGGGTCAGAGTCAGAAGTGGTGTTTGGCCAGGCCTTCCGGTCAGAGAGGCCATCTAGAGGCAGGTTGGAGTTGGAAGCGAGGCCTTCCGGTCGGAGAGCCGGGCCAGAGTCGAAAGCGGGTGTCGTTCCTCCTCGGCCAGGCCTTTTGGTCGGAGACTTGGATCGCCGTTTACGCGTCATTTACAATGTTGTCTGCTGGAATGAGCCCTTGTTGAGATGTCAGTCCATGAGAGACCCCGGGTTTATGAATCGGACAGAAGCCCCTAAGCCCCCGAGCGATTCAGGTAGAATGGTCTGGGGGATTTCTGTCTTGACGGCGGGTGTGCGCGAGCACACCCGGGGGTGTAGCCCCTGAGCCCCCGGGCAATTCGGGTAGAATCGTCTGGGGGGTTTCGTGTTGCCAGCTGATGTAGACTAGGCCCGATCTTCCGATAGGTATGATAGTGTCGATTGGTGGAGACTCGACGTTCACGATCTAAGCTTCGAACTAAGACTGATTCGGACCCCCGTAACTATTACACCACTGCTCTGTTGGTTATCAACCACGCGAACGCGATTGACATCACCGAGAAGGCTTTCCTACAAGCGAATCGAGAACACAAGTAAGAACAGGATGAACGCAATCTGAAATTACAAATAATTATGAGGCTTATAAAAACAAAAAGGAGTTCAAGTCTTTATTCGAAAGAACTAATCACCACAGGCGAACAAGATCAAGAATCGAGGCCCCGGGTTCACAAAAGCGAAGCCTTTGGCGGCATGGCTTGCAAAGAAACGATGTCTATTTCACGAGGAAATCAAGAACTAAACAAAACCCCAAACCCTAATGGAGGGGTGGCGGTCGTTTATGAAGACTCTAGGGTCATGCAAGACCCCTATACGCGTCTCCCTAATGGGCCCAAACACGATACATGGTCCAACGGACCAAAAGATGGTGTCATGAAGACCTCAGCGATTTTGGACGCCGACTTGTGACCACGATTCCCGCTGATTAGAAATGCTTTTGACGTGAGACCACTTGGATTGGCTTCCATATCAAATTAGCTTTTCATCCATATGTGGATCGTCGAAAATGGTCCGGATAAGTCCTGGGTAACCAATTTAAGGCAGACTGGTCCTAAAACCCGAGATGGACTCCAACTTCAGTTGGACTGGGCCTCCACCATGAAAAAGATGAATTGGACGCCCATGCTGGATCTCCCCCTCTCCTTGGCTTGTATGCGACGAAGTAGTGATGTCCTCATCATCCTCCCTTTCTTGAATTGAAGTCGTCCTTGACTAAAGTAGATCGTCTCCTCCATTGGATGACAGCAACGATGGCTCCAGAAGAAGACGTTCATCTTGGTGCCCCATCCTTCGCAAAGGTGGCTGCCATGGTGGCTTCCCTGTTGGGAATTCATCCACCTTCTCCTGCAAAAGGTTAGTACCAACAAGTGGCATAGCACTAGGAGTAGGACCAAGTGGACATATAGGCGATATATAAGTTAGAGCATAACATGGTTCATCATGAACAACAAGAACAGATTTAAGAGCAAATAAAACTTCTTTCATGTTACTTGAAGGTTCATTTAATGGTTTGCTAGAGTCTTTATCAAGGCCTTTCTTTTTCTTTTCAGCAAGTTCCTTTTCATATTGCACAATTTCAGCAGGTGTTAAAGGAAGTAAAGCAATGGTCTTTCCTTTAAACATAAAAGTATATCTATTTTGCCTACCATGATGTACAACATTATTATCATATTGCCAAGGGTGGCCTAACAAAAGTGAACAAGCTTGCATAGGCACAACATCAAAATCAGCATAATCATGGTATGATCCGATAGAAAAATGCACACGAGCAGATTGTGTTACCTTTGTCTTACCACTATTGTTGAACCACTAAACATGGTATGAATGTGGAAGAGCACGTGTAGATAAACCAAGAGTCTTGACAAGCTCAGAACTTACCAAGTTATTGCTGCTCCCTCCATCAATTATAGTACTTAACACGGAAATTATTGACAATGAGGAACATTTTAAATAAATTATGGCGTTATAGCTTGTTCATCGCTCAACTTGTATACTCAAAAACATTTGAACAAGGATTGATTTGTAGTCCTGCAAAGACATGCCACACTATCAATTACCTCATCGAGATCTTCAAAGACTATCCACAAATTTATCTCGCATAAAGATCGAGCTTGCAAGTGCAAATTCATTCTCTTCATCACTAGCGCTAGCATACCCACCATCATCATCAAGAGCAATATATGCGCGTTTGTCGGGCATTCTTCAGCAATATGTCACATGCCCTTGCAGCGGTGGCACACAACTTTAGAAGAGCTGCTAGAGGAAGGTGTAGCAGATCCACTAGAAGAAGGTGTGATAGGAGAATTCTTCTTTACACGCGTTGGTG